GAACCGGAAATTGGGACGCTGTCATTCCGCCCGGGGGGCGGGGATGAGCGATGGGCAGATCCACCAATGGGGTTTGAAGTCCGGGGCAGGGGCGGGCTTTCCAGGAGGCCATCTTGAGTTTGGGCAGAAGCCACGCTCTGATTAGCTTCGCTGTGCCCTCAGCTCCACGGCGCGTGCGTGTCCTTTGTCAATTCGCGAAGATCGAGTCACCGGCTGCTTCTGGGAGATCCAGGTCTACGTGTGTCAACTGTGTTTGGAATCTATTAGGATCCTTACATTAAAATCTAATTTGTAATTTTTGTTGTAGGGGGATGAAGGCCTGGGGTGCGGGGTGTGCGTGAGCTGGAGGGGGTCAATGGAGGAAAAAGGGGGACATATGTAGTGTGTGTGTGTGTGTGTGTGTGTGTGTGTGTTTTAAGAATTGTTCTTTGAAAAAACTCTAACGGAGATTTCAAACTTAAAGTGATAGCTTTATGTCAATTTGGCTAGACTATAGTACTGAGTCACTCAAACACTAATACTGTTGCTGTGATGGTATTTTTTTAAAATAGTAATGTTGATTTTATTTTTTTAAGAAAGAAAGGAAGGGAGCGAGACATTGATGTGCAGGGGAAACATCAACTAGTTGCCTCCTGCACACACCCTGAAACCTAGGAATTAAACCCTCGACCTTTCAGTTTATGGGACACCGGTCCTACCAACTCGTCCGCCTTACCGGCCAAGGCAGTAATGGTATTTTGTAGGTGTGGTTAACATCTACAATAAATTGACTTTCAAAGAGATTGCCTTGATAATGTAGGTGGGCTTTAACTAATCAGTTAAAAGACATTTAGGGCAAAACTGGGTTTTCTCTGAAGAGGAAATTCTGCATCAAGATTTCCAACATTAAAAAAGAAGAAGAAGAAGAAGAAGACTTCAACACTAGAACTGAATCCCGGAAGAGGCTGTGGAAAATGCCCCTTCAGCTCCTCCAACCTAGACCAGGTGTGGTGGCAGCAGCAATGGCTCATCAGAAGACCCCAGGATCCAGAGAGCCAGCCCCTAAATCATGGACCTTGAGACGATCTGGACACCAGTTCAGGTGGGAAGCCAGCCCACCCTCAAAAGGCCATCCCACAGCTCTCCTACCTTTCATTATCCACTGTGCTCCTGGGAAACAACTCTCCCTGGCGGCACTCCCCATTGCTGCCCCAAACCCCAATTCCAAAATAGGACCTGTCGCCTCTCCAATGAATTCCTACATCTTGTTCTGTGGGGACAGCCAAACCCATCTGACTCAGGAGGCACCCTTGGGAGGGGGATACCTTGCCCAGGCCAGCGGCACCCTGTGACCTCAGCTTCTTCCCCAGTCATCACACTCTCCCCCCAGGAGCCTCCTAAAGCCAAAGGAGCACCTTGAGGGTGCCCACAAGGTGTTGGGCCTGGGGAACAGTCATGGGGCCACTCACAGCTTCCTCCACCCCAGTCAACACATGTGTCTGTGGGCAGGCGGGTTAACGGAAGAGCCTGACTATGGGTGGAGGGGGCTGGCGGGCCAGGCTCAAGTGCCCAGGGGCTGCCAGTCCCAGAGCCCACAGCCTCTTTGCCAGGGGCTGCAAAATGCCAGGGGAAAACGCCATCACTTTCTTGGAGCTTACATTCTTGGAGTGGGGGGAGATGGTGTCCGGGGAGGGGAGGGGAGGGAAGCAGGTTAAACAACTAAATTAAGACGATTTTTAAAATATATATATATATATTATTGATTTTGTACAGAGAGGAAGGGAGAGAGATAGAGAGCTGGAAACATCAAAAAGAGAGAGTCATCAATCAGCTGCCTCTTGCACACCCCCTACTGGGGATGTGCCTGCAACCAAGGTACATGTCCTTGACCGGAATCGAACCCGGGTCCCTTCAGTCCCCAACCCGACGCTCTATCCATTGAGCCAAATCGGTTTCGGATAAATTAAGACGATTTTGAACAGTGACACAGTGAGTGCAAAGAGCTTTTATGATACGGTGGCTGGGAAAGGCCTCCCTGAGTGCATGGCAATTTAAAATATGATCGTGCCCTGACCAGTTTGGCTCAGTAGATAGAGCATCAGCCTTTGGACTGAAAGGTCCCAGGTTCGATTCTGGTCAAGGGGTATGTACCTTGGTTGTGGGCACATCCCCAGTGGGGGGCATGCAGGAGGCATGTTTCTCTCTCATCGATGTTTCTAACTCTCCCTCTCCCTCTCTGTTAAAAAAATTAATATTTTAAAAAATAAAATAAAATATGATCTAAAAAGTGTAAAGGAGCTAGCACTGTGACTACCCTCCCAGGGCCCGTGGGCTGGCATTTTTTTCCCAGGTCAGGAAACCCCAGCAGGACAAGCAGGGCAGCACATTGGCAACTGCCCTCTTGGCTCACATACAAGTGTGAAGGTCACTGAAGGGCACGAGACAGAACAGGGAAATCTGAGAACCTTAATGGGACCTGGCAACCTGAGCGTAAACAAAAGGAACGGGGGCGGGAGTGCGCAAAGGGGAACGGAATGTCATATTTGAACAAATAAAATAAAGATATTTATTGAGCATCTACTGCATACCAGGCTAATGCCCTAGAGAGACAGAAGAAAAGGGGACGGGGTTCTGCTCCATAGAGAAATCGTGTTCCCCGGCGAGAAGTGTGAATGAAAGTGTGCGTAGATGTAAGAGAGGCACACAGTGTGAAACGCCACATCAACCCATCTGAGGACGTAGCTCAGGACTCTCAGATGAAATTGCTCAACGTTCATTAAAAAAAAAGAAAAAAGACCAGTCCAGCCAGCGTAACTCGGTGGTTAAGTGTTGACCTATGAACCAGGAGGTCAGGGTTCGAATCCCAATCAGAGCATATGCCCGGGGTTAGGGGCTTGATCTCCGTTGTGAGGCATGCAGGAGGCAGCTGATCAATGATTCTTTCTAATCATTGATGTTACTCTCTCTCCCTCTCCCTTCCTCTTTGAAATCAATCAATCAACAAATTATACACACACACACACACACACACACACACACACACAAAGAGCAGATGAAGCCCCAGGAGCCCAATCCTGGCCCACTGCCCTCGCCATTGCCCCGCGCTGTCCCATTGCCCTTGGCCTGGAGGTCATCTGGGGAGTCAAGGAGAGAAAGTTTGGAAAGCGAAAGTCAGACCGCAAGGAAAGCGAGTGCAAGGAGAGAGGGCATAGAGTCAAATGTTGGAGTTGGGGAATGGTTATTTTTTAATATATTTTATTGATTTTGTACAGAGAGGAAGGGAGATAGTTAGAAACATCGATGAGAGTCATCATCGATCAGCTGCCTCTTGCACACCCCCTACTGGGGATGTGCCTGCAACCAAGGTACATGCCCTTGACTCAGAATCGAACCCGGGACCTTTCAGTCCCCAAGCCGATGCTCTATCCATTGAGCCAAACCGGTTTCGGCGAGGGATGGTTGTTTTTTAGAACACCTAGCACACCTGAGGGTGGGAGAGAGGGGTAAGCTGAAAGAGAGGTACAGTGAGGGGACCATCCTTGGGGGCATTGCAGAGAGAAGGGAGCAGAGGCACTGGTTAGCCATGGTTGGAAGAGAGTCCTGGGCCTTTATGAAAGGGGGGGGGGGGTAGTGTGGGGCAGGGAGAAGGCACTGTTTGTTGGGTATTAGGAAGGATGTAGCCAGGACGGGGAGGTTGTATGGTGTCTTTATATTTATTTATTTATTAATATATTTTTATTGATTTTTTACAGAGGAAGGGAGAGGGATAGAGTTAGAAACATCAATTAGCTGTCTCCTGCACACCCCCTATTGGGGATTTGCCCACAACCAAGATATATGCCCTTGAACAGAATCGAACCCGGGACCCTCGGTCTGCAGGCCGACGCTCTATCCACTGAGCCAGACTGTTAGGGGAACCTTTATATTCAATCCAAGAGGTGAAACCAAGGAAAGAGGGGCCGAGTTGGAGTCTCAGAAATGTGGGGGCGTGAGGGACAGCGACAGCAGGCTGAGCAGGGACACCTGCCAATCATCACCCAGGGGTGGATCAGGTGTTGCCTGGCCAACAGACAGGAGCTGAAGCTGATCAACAGCGTTGGCCTGAAAGGCAAAGTCTGAGAGACCTCTAGCGATGGCTGGAGTGGAGGAAAGGATTGTTGACCTGGCTTGGGGGATGGTAGGGGGAGACAGGGAGCTCAGGGAATAATCACCCCCAAACCTGGCCTCCTCCCACTGACGCCTCCATGCCTGCTCCCCTTACATCTTACAGCCTCTGCTGGAGAACTCTGCTCCCACAAAAACAGCACAGGCCCGACGCTTTGTCTTTTTAATAAAAAATAAACTGACAGGCAGTTTTCTGAATCCCAAAGCAAAGGAGAGGGCAAAGGTCAGAGGTCAAAGGGTCAGCCAGGGGAAAGGCATGAACAAGGCTCAGAAAACTGCTGCCATTCTAGCCAGGCCAAAAGGGATCATCACCTCCCCCACCCGAAGCAAGAAGGAAGGTGGTCAGCCTTCAGTCTTTATTCCCTGTGCGCATACAGGGGGCAGCTCCCTGCTGAACCCCGAAGATCCCGGGGAGAGGGGAGGATTGGTGTCCGGGGTGACAGCTGCTATCAGCGCGGAGTCTCCAGGAGCGGCATGCTGATGGTTGCTTAGATGTTTGTTGGTTCCCATAGGGTCCTGGGACAGCCGGATGCTTTAGGGTCTCCTGGAGCGGTATGTTTCTGGAGGGTCCCGGCATGGCCAGAACGGAAGGATCCTCTCTGGGTCCTCCTATCAGAGCCTCAGTCCAGGCCTGGGCACCCCTGAGATGCCATGCGCTTAGCACATGAGACTCCCACAGGGCAGCCAGCCCCTGTGCCCGCCCACTGAGTGCTACTGGTGGCACAGATGGCCGAGAAGCTGCTCTGGAGGGAGGAAGGTGATCTTTTGTGCTGCTCCCCCCAGTGAGGTCCACACTGCTCCAGGCACCCTGTCGGCACGGGCAGGCACTGCCTCACAACTCAGTCTGTGCTCAGAGTCTAAGCCACCTCGGTGCCCAGGTGGTTGTTGTCGGCGTCCAGATCGCTGTCCGGGGGCCTGTGTTCCTTTGGATGTTGTAGGTGCTGCTCCCTGCTCAGTGGGGCCTTCTCCCCAGGGGGCAGGCTCCCACAGCCCTGGACCTTGCCCCGGGCTCGGAGTGCCCCGAGCCGGGAGAAAAGGAGGAAGATGAGGGCTCCGGAAAGCACCGAGGCAAGCAGTACGGTGACGGTGAGGAAGTGGGGCCAGTAGGAGCGCTGGGCGGCCAGCGCGGCCCCACCACCGACCCTGGTCAGCGAGGCCTCCATGCGCTCCCGGGGGATGCCCACCAGTTCGGGGTCCGGGGCCCGGGGCGGGTCTTGGCTGTCCACCCAGTAGGAGACCACGGGGTAGGAGAAGCCGTTCTCAGTGGCCACGCACTGGTAGAGGCCTCCCTCCCCCTCCCGCAGCAGCAGCAGGAGGGAGCCGTTGTAAACCATGGACGAGGCGCCCGAGAGGGATGCTGTCCCGTGAGTCCAGCGGTAAGAGGCCAGGGCTGAGCGGCGGGGGCAGGGCAGCTCCAGGATGGAGTTGGGAACGGCCAGGACTTCTTTGACTGCAGGTGAAGAAAAGGGGGCAGAAAGTCAAGGGATGTGGGGGAGAAGGAAGGAGGAGAGGGTTAGGAGTCCTAACCCTGCGTTTGGACTCCCAATGAGCATCTCCGATTTCCATTCCATCTCCCAGACTCAACTGACCGCTTCCCTCTCTCCAATCTGGACCCCAAACGGACTTCCAGATCCTTCTCACTCCAACTCTGACCCCAAAACCACTTTACCCTCCATCCTGAATCCCACCTTAGAACTCCTGTGCCCTCTCCCTTCAGCCAAGACCCAAATCCATCGAATCTGGGTGTTCAGGTCGCAAGCCAGGCAGATGCCGGGGGAAGACACTGAGGCCAGAATGCCTGCTCTGCCAAGAAGCCGCCCCCGAGCCTCTGCATCTCCCCTGGCCCCATACTCACTGATCTGGGGGCGGCTCAGAGGCCGGAGGCTCCTGCTCATGGGGCCGTCGGCACACGCCCACTGTGGGTTCCCTCTCTCCATGTCCTGCCTCCAGGAATTCCTGAGAAGGCAAGGAAATAAAAAAAATCATCCTTGGAGACAAAAGTGGGGCGAGCAGGGAGGAATAAGTGGGAAAGAAGGTTGAGGGGGGAGGGAGGGGAAACACATGAGGCAGAGCGGAGTGGAGGAGAGACCCGGGATGCTGGAGCAGCGTCTAAACTGCTGGGTGCAACCTGTCCTGGGAGGAGCTCACCACAGGAGGGGATCTTGGAGGGACTGTGTCGGTAGGAAGAGAGGAAGAACAGGAGCACAAGTGGGGATGAAAGGGTCCTGGCACCATCCAGGACTGGCACTCACGGGATGGAGGTGGGCAGGAGGCGGCAGAGTCTGGACTCGGGGTCCCAGGCACAGTGGGGGTCCCGGGCAAGGACACAGTCCACACAGCTCTCATAGACACTACAGTTGGCTCGGGGGACCCTGACGACACCTCCTGAGAAGCCTACAAACAGTGCACCCTGCAGGAGAGACGGGGAGTGTCAGTCAGGGTGCCGCCAGCACTACCTCGCAAGGCCCGCCCCCTTAGGGGGTCCCTCCTCACCTGGGTTGGGGCCAGCTGCAGGGTGCGAACAGGCTCAGGCTCAGGGAACAGCTGGATCTCCTCTACCAGATGCGCTCTGCTGTCCCCGCTCACCACAGCCTTGTGCAGGAGCCCCGTGGCTGTGGGGAGACAGCGTGGAAATGGCCTCATTCCCTCTGAAAACTGCTCAGTGTTCCACTCTTCATGCCCAGCTCAGGACCTGTGTCTTCCTACTTCACAGAGATCACAAAGCCTTCACATGAGAGCTTCCTATGCTGTCCTGGCCAGTGTGGCTCAGTTGGTTGGAGCATTGTCCCATACACCAAACGGTCTTGGGTTTGATTCCTGGTCAGGGCTCATACCCAGGTTGTAAGTTCAAACTCCAATCAGGGTGTGTACAGTGGCAACTGGTCAATGTTTCTCTCTCATATGGATATTTATCTTTCTTTCTCTCTCTCTCTCATCCTTTCTTGCTAAAAAAAAATAAATAAAAAACATATTCTTGGGTGAGAATTTTTTTTAAATATATATATTTTTAAAAAGGAGCTTCCTGCCAAAAACGGTTTGGTTCAGTGGATAGAGCGTCGGCCTGCAGACTGAAAGGTCCCTGGTTGTGCCTTGGTTGTGGGCACATCCCCAGTGGGGGCTGTGCAAAAGGCAACCGATGGATGATTCTCTCTCATCGATATTTCTCTCTATCCCTCTCCCTTTCTCTCTGTAAAAAGTCAATAGAAATATATATATATTTTTTTAAAAAGGAGCTTCCTCTGCTTCCTGCCCACCCCCCAGGTGATCCATGCCCGCGGACTCCCATCCCTGCAGAGGTGCTGGCCTCCTCCATTCACAGCTGGTCCAGGGTCCTGCTCCTCTGCAACCACACCTGCCCATATCCCCTCGCCTGCCCATCGCTCACCATCTCTCTCCCTACTGGATCTTGACAGTATTTCCCATATTTAAAAAGAGAATGCTGGCTGGACCCCACAGCCTCCTTCAGTCACCCCCTTGCTCTCTTCCCCTTCACAGCCATGCCTCCTGAAGGAAGGATCTCTGCATTTGCTGAGTCTGGTTCCCCTCTATCCACTCACTCTCTGCCTCTCTGACATGGCTTCCCCCACAAAATAAGCAGCCCTTGCTGAGGCCACCAAAGCCCTTGTGTGTATCTCCCCAACCAGAACTGAAAGCTCACAAAAGGTAGGTATGAGCTGTTTTGCTTCCCCCCTGTATTTCCAGAGCCTAGCACATAGTAGGTGCTCAGAAAACACTTGATGACTAAATGCATGTGTGAATAGACTCCAAGACCCCCCTCCTCTGTTTCAGTCCCCTGAGGAATGTCCTGGAGCCTTGTACTCACTGGTGCCCAGGTACATGACCAGATGGCTGTCCCCGTCAAGGCCCTGGGCTGTCTCCACGGCAAGCTGTGTGTACTCCACCCCGGACTGCACCAGCAGGGGCGTTCCCACCACCTGCTCGTCCATCAGGAAATGGTTCTTCATGAAGGTCAAGGCTTTATCCGAGGAGGGGCCCGCCGAGCACTGCAGGGGAAGAAGGCAGAACAGGTCAGCGTTCTTCCTGTAAGCCCACCCATTGCCTGTCCCCTCCCTTCTCCCCGCTCTGCTGGTCTCCTCTGCTCCCTCCTTCCTGGCAGTCCCCATCTCCAGATGGTGGCTGGGCTCTGAGTCCCAGCCTCCGCGTGCCTGAGGTTCCTGAACAGTAAAATGGGCTATGACCCACATATGTCAGGCCTGCTGTGAGGATGAGCAGTAAAATGCATGAAGAGTAATTAGAACAGTGACTGGCATGAATGAAGGACTCAATAAATGTCAGCCATGATGGCTTTCCTCTTCCTCCTCACCTCCAGCAAGGATGCCTGGCCGAAACTGGTTTGGCTCAGTGGATAGAGCGTCGGCCTGTGGACTGAAAGGTCCCAGGTTCGATTCCGGTCAGGGGCATGAAACTTGGTGGTGGGCACATCCCCAGTGAGGGTGTGCAAGAGGCAGCTGATCAATGATTCTCTCTCATCGATGTTTCTAGCTCTCTATCCCTCTCTCTTCCTCTCTGTAAAAAATCAATAAAATATATTTAAAAAAAAAAAAAAAAAAAGGATGCTTGGCAGCCGGCAGAAAGCAGGGTGAGAGCCCTTTGCAGGCAAGAACCCTGCTGCACGCATGTCTGTAGCTGGAGGCTCAGCACAGGACACGGGACACAATCGGTGCCAATAAATGTTTGCTGAGCCAGTGATTAAACGAAAGATACATTATAAAAGGGCGGTGTGGCAGGGCGTGTTTCTTGTCAAGGTTTTGCATGAACTTGCTCCATGACGCCGGGAGAGTCTCTTCTCCGTCCTGGGCTCCCCTTTCTCGCCCATAAAACGAGGGGCTGACCTGGCTGTTCTCTAAACGCCCTGCCAACACCAGAATGCGAAGGTTCTTGGGACACCTGAGTTATGATCCTTAGTGAGGACCCTGGTCCTTCCTATCCCAGAGCGCTGTCTTAGGGCCCACCCCACCTCTGTCACCGACAAGCTGAGTCCTCAGACAAGTTACTCCACTCCTGTGAGCTTCAGTTTCCGCGTGTGGAAAGTGAGGTGATAATATCCACGTCGCATTTTGATACCAGGATGAGCACATGCACCTGCATTTGCTTCCTCCCAAAGGGATTTTTTCTTTCTTTATTTTTTAATATATTTATTGATATTTTACAGAGAGGAAGGGAGAGGGATAGAGTTAGAAACACTGATCAGCTGCCTCTTGCACACCCCCTATTGGGGATGTGCCCACAACCAAGGTACATGCCCTTAACCGGAATTGAACCCAGGACCTTTCAGTCCGCAGGCCGATGCTCTATCCACTGAGCCAAACTGGTTTCGGCTCTTTCTTCATTTTTAACTATATATTTAATATATCTTATCGATTTTTTTACAGAGAGGAAGGGAGAGGGATAGAGAATTAGAAACATTGATCAGCTGCCTCCTGAATACCCCCAGTCAATTTTAATTTGATCAAGTCTCTAGATCTAACCACCAATTTACAGAAAATACTTCAATTCTGCCACCAAGATGCAAAATCACCAAGATCCATACTGTGGGAAACTCTACATAACAAATAAATTGCAAGCAAAAAAAAAAAAAAAAAAAAAAGGAAGCTAGAAAGGAAACATACAGATTAAAAGAGACTTAAAAGAACAACCAATCCAAATGCACAGATCTTTTTTAGGTTTTGACTTAAATAAACAAACTATATTTAAAAATACTTTTATGAGCCGAGACTGGTTTGGCTCAATGGATAGAGCGTCGGCTTGGGGACTGGAGGGTCCCGGGTTTGATTCTGATCAAGGGCATGTACCTTGGTTGCAGGCATATCCCCAGTAGGGGGTGTGCAGGAGGCAGCTGATCGATGACTCTCTCTCATCGATGTTTCTAACTCTATTTCTCTCCCTTCCTCTCTGTACAAAATCAATAAAATATATTTAAAAAATAAAATAAAATAAAAATACTTTTATGACATCTATGAGACTATTAGAAATTTGAGCACTAAGTGCATATTATATTAAGGAGTTAATTTTTTTGTTGTGATAATGGTACTATGGGTACTTTTTAAAGCCCTATCTTTTGGAGATACATACTAAAATATTTATAGATGATGTAGTAGGTTAAATGAAAATATGTCTTCATCTAGGAATCTACAGAGATTATCCTCTACTAAAATAAGATAGAAAGAAGAAGAAGAAGAAGACATGAGATTCAAGAAACATTACATCATCACAAGGAAGAAGCAAAGGGAATGCCCAGAATGAGAAAGAAGGGAGACTCCAGGGTGGCAGCTGTGCACGAATGCAGAGGGCCTCCCGTCTCAACTGCAGTAGACAGAAGGATTTCCAGGAAGATGAAACTGTTAGAACATCTCAGGTAATTGAGTACGAACTTGGAGTTGGCTGCTCTGTTTGTAGAATAGCCACTCTATGTTTCACTGTTTTACTACTAAATTCTTTCACTTAAAAAAAAAAAAAAAAAAGTCTGCTAAAACCGGTTTGGCTCAGTGGATAGAGCGTCGGCCTGCGGACTGAAAGGTTCCAGGTTCTATTCCGGTCAAGGGCATGTACCAGTAGGGTGTGTGCAAGAGGCAGCTGATGGATGTTTCTCTATCATCGATGTTTTGAACTCTTTATCCCTCTCTCTTCCTCTCTGTAAAAAAATCAATAAAAATATATTTAAAAAAAAAAAAAAGTCTGGCCTGGCCAGTGTGGCTCAGTGCTTGAGCATCAACCTATGAACCAGGAGATCACTGTTCAATTCCTGGTCAGGGCACATGCTTGGATTTCAGGCTCAATCCTCATCATTGATATTTCTATCTTTCTCTCCCTCTCCCTTCCTCTCTGAAATCAATTTAAAAAAAATTTTTTTAAGTCTGGGTTAAATTAAAGGTAAGAGTTTAGAAAACAAAGCAAGCAAAGAAACATCAAAATAATTACTAACCCCAGGGAAAATTTTTAAAAATGCAAAAGGAGAAGTAATCAGTGCTTACTACTTGGCTCATTGGTGAATAATAATATAAATCTTGATCTAACCAAAATTACTATAAAACTGTTGGGTGCACTGGTGTGTTCGTAAGGCAGCTCTGGAGTGGGGGTAGGGGAGCCCTGATTTGTAGTGTTTGCGGATTTCCATGGTTTATACTCCCACATGGTTGATTTTCAGTTACCAATGTAATGTCACGGGACACAAATTTCGTAAGAGAACTCAAAAAGAGTTCTTGCCAAAACCGGTTTGGCTCAGTGGTAGAGCGTCAGCCTGTGTACTGAAAGGTCCCGGGTTCGATTCTGGTCAAGGGCATGTACCTTGGTTGCAGGCACGTCCCCAGTAGAGGGTGCGCAAGAGGCAGCTGATCGATGATTCTCTCTCATCGATGTTTCAACTCTCTATCCCTCTCTCTTCCTCGCTGTAAAATATCAATAAAATATATTGAAAAAAAAAAAAAAAAAAAAAGAGTTCTTGCTAGTTGTTGCTAGCCAGCTCCAGCACACACCTGGGTGGGGGAACACAGGGAAATCCTCACCTCTCAGAATGGGAATGCAATAGATACTGCCTGAAACTGAAACATCAAGACATAACAATAAAAGTACATTATTTAGAAACTTGGAGATAAATACCAAAAGAATCAGCTGAAAAAATTGAAGCTGGTTTTCTCTAGGAAAGGAACTAGGGCATTTTTTGGTAACCAACACATGTAAATCTATATGATTTTTTATTTTTTTTAAATATATTTTACTGATTTTTTACAGTGAAGAAGGGAGAAGGAGAGAGAGTTAGAAACATTGATGAGAGAGAAACATCAATCAGCTGCCTCCTGCACATTCTCCACTGGGTATGTGCCTGCAACAAAGATACATGTTCTTGATCAGAATCAAACCTGGGACCCTTCAGTCCACAGGCCGACCGACACTCTATCCACTGAGCCAAACCGGTCAGGGCCTATATGATTTTTTAAATAATGTACATATACAATTCTGATTTTTTTAAAAACAAACACACGCACACACACAACGAAAGGTAAATAAGAAATGCAGGCGAAGATGCCCAACACAGTCCTTGGCACAGCCCATGCTGCCTTGTTTTCTCAGTGAGAGCCCTCCGTTGTTGGATGTGTACGTAGCTGGGGCAGAAGGGGCTGCTCTGTGTGTGGATTGTGGGCAGCTGGACCCAGCGTATATCTCAGCAGTCAGGACTGGTTGGGGGCCGGAAGAGGACGAACATTTATTGGGCATCTATTCTGCCTTGGTAGGCACTTTGGTAAGTGCATTATGTGTGTCTCTGGAGGGGGAGGGGCTTTGCTATGTGGGGGCTGGTACTCACGCTGCCCGGTCGAGGATTGATATCATCGGGGACCCCAAGAGTCGTCCATCGTGAAGTCTCTTTGTTCAACTCCTTGTACTTCCCCTCAAAGACACGCTCGATGTTCTTGAGAGAGAAGGCACAGACCGCTGAGCTCTTGGTCCCACCGATTTGCCTGCAGACAGCCAGAGGGGACATGGTCTGTGATCTGCTCTGCTCTCTCAGGAAGCTCCCCTTCCAGCCCAGGTGAGGAACCCCAGGAGGACAGGAATGTGGAGGGCTGTGCCAGCCTAGCTGCTTCTCCTTCCCCTCGTTGTGGTACTAAGGGCTAGGGGCCCCTGACCCTGGCCCGTTTTAGGATCTGAAGTGTGATTATCCTTAAAGAGAATTAACGGGGTCAGGCCTGACAGGCTCCCGAGAAAGCCCTCCTCCTCTGTCCTGTGGCTTCCTGGTCCTCAGAGGATGAACCGGAGCCTGGCTACATGACTATTATTCCCTCAGCCCTGGTCTGTGGGTAAATAGCTGTCTTTCCTGTTCTCAACGTATTCTAAGTTCTGGGTGCCATAGCTGCCAGACCCTGCTTACACCAGGTATCTCTGGTACCTGACACACTGTCGGATATCTCTAAAACACCACGGGATCAGACCACAGCAAATCAGCTCACCTTTCTTAGCCTCCATGCAATGGATACATTTTTATCTTATGACACTGATGGTGTTTCCCTCCTTGCTCTGGCCATTGGGAAGCTCAGAGCTTAATCTGTGACTGGCATCCAGAGACTGTCTACATGACACACATTTGCAATGTATTGGTCCTATCCTTGGCTGCTCTTATTCTCCTCTTATTCCCACTTCTTTATTGGATATTTTATTTTTACTTTCTTTTTTTGTTCTATTTCTTTTATTTTTTTAAATATATTTTATTGGCCGAAACTGGTTTGGCTCAGTGGATAGAACGTCGGTCTGTGGACTGAAAGGTTCCAGGTTCAATTCCTGTCAAGGGCACATCCCCAGTAGGGGGTGTGCAGGAGGCAGTTGATCGATGTTTCTGACGCTCTATCCCTCTCTCTTCCTCTCTGTAAAAATAAATAAAATATTATATATATAAGTATTATATATAAATATTATATATATATTATATATTATATATTATATATTATATATTATATAATATATAATATATATTATATATATAAATATATTATATATATAAAACCAATAATATATATATATATATTAGTTTTTTTACAGAGAGGAAGGGAGAGGAATAGTCAGAAACATCGATGAGAGAGAAACATCGATCAGCTGCCTCCTGCACACCCCCCACTGGGGCTGTGCCCGCAACCAAGGTACATGCCCTTGACCGGAATCGAACCCGGGACCCTTCAGTCCAAAGGCCCGATGCTCTATCCACTGAGCCAAACCGGCCAGGGCTGTTTTATTTCTTTTAATGGTTGCGTTTTGTCAGCTGCCTCCTATCCCTTTTGGAACCAGCCAGGCTATAAACCAGTAAGTAAGAACCTCTCTGAGCTTTGTTTTTCCCACCTCCGGGAAGGGCATCCATCAAACTCCTGGGAGGCAGTGAGGTCTGCGCGGGCCTCACGTCACTCCCCGCTCCCGCCCCGCCGCGAGCCCGCCTCCCCGCCCCGGGGCTCACCACTGGGAGGTGAAGACCGCGAAGACGCGGAGGCCGGTGGAGAAGTTGCCCGGCTGCAGGACGGCGTGGCGGATGACGTTGAAGGGCAGCTGCCCGGGCTGCGCGCAGACCAGCTGGGCCTTCAGGAAGGTGGTCCACTTCTTCTGCAGCAGCCGCTCCCCGCCCACGTCGTTCTGCGGGGGGGAGGGGGACGCGGCCGGGTGAGGGGCGCTTCCGGCCCCGCGTGCCCCGCCCCCGACCCGCCTCTCCCTCCTCCGATTGGGCCCTGCGCTCAAGCCCCGCCCCTTCTTCCACCTCCCCATTGGCTCTTCCGCGACAGCCCCGCCTCCCGCCCAGGCCGACCTTGCAGACGCGGGCCACCCGGGACGTGCGGAGCTTGTCGAAGAACTCGAACTCGCTGGCCGTCTCCTCGAAGAAGAAGTAGACGACCTGAGTGGAAGGGATGGCTGCCACAAAGGCGGCGTCCTCTGCGGCGGGGGTGGGAGGGTAGGCAGATAGGCTTAGGGATTGAGCACCTGGATGCCCTGGGCTCCCCTGGGTGCAAACCCTTGCTTTGTTTGGCTCTGGAGGCCAGGAGGCTGATCCAGGAGAGGCGGAGGGGAGGAGGGCTGACGCTTCTTTAGGTCACATGAAAGCTTCTTGAGGACGGGAGCTTGGTCTCCTTCCCTGCTGTACCCCCAGTGCCTAACAGAACTGCCTGGAACGTGGTATCTATCCCCTTAGCAATGAGTAGACTGACTGGCCAGGACTCCAGGCCTGGGGAGAAGGGGAGCAGACCCGTCCTGGATGGGGCTCAGGTGCTTACGTTGCAGCCAGCGGAGGAAGGTGTCCGTCTTGAGCACAGGCAGGGATCCCAGCGCGCGCATCAGGATGGGCTCGCTGCCCAGGAAGTTGTTCATGGTGCCAGAATAGAGCATCCCGTCTGGGTAGGAGGAGGATGGACATGAGCAGTTGGAAGGGGCACTCCCCCTTTCTCCTCCCGCCCCTCCCCTGCCCCCCAGGCCTGCCTCTGTCTGGGGCCAGCATTCACATCTGTCTCATTCCTCATACACCTTCCTGTGGAGCCCCAAAGCCCAGCTCCTAGCCCCACTGAGCACCCTTCGTAGGGCCTTCTGCCCACAGGAAATGGCCAAGCCTCTGGGCTTTGTGTGTCTGGGCACTTCCCCAGCCCTTTTCTCGCTACTCCCCAACACAACCAGCCGAACCACTTGCCAAGTAGAATCACTCATTGTTCCCAGAAGGTGACTGGTTTCCTGCTTCCACACCTTGGGTCCTACCCTTCTCTTCCTGGCGTTCCTTCCCCACCCATCTGCCTGTCTTGCAAGGTCCCACTCAAAAGCCAAAGGCCATCTTCTCTAAGAAGCCAAGCTGGGAAGTCTGTAATGGTTGGTGCCCAGGAGGGAACATGGCCATTTCTTCTCTGAAACCCCTACGGGTGTGAGCACACTGCCTGGCACACAGAGGCGGTGTCACGCAGAGCCTGTTTGTGGAACAGTTGGCTGGATCTCGGGCCTCTTCTCTGCCTGAGGCCCTTTCCAGACCTCCCTGCCTCTCTCCCCACAGCCATCTCTCCTCACTTCCTTTGTAGCAGCTTCAGCAGGAGCTGGTGGTTGGGGTGCCCAATGTCCCCTCTGCTCTTGTGCTCTGCAGCCCCTGGCTTTCCCTCCCTCTGTCCCCTGCCTTTCAAGAAATTCAGATTCCATATGTCACAGAGTGACTCAGGAAAGCAGATGTTGGGATGGACCAGGGACCCCGATACTCACCTACCAAGACAGCTGTGTGCTTATGGGCAGGATCAAAGGGGCTCAGCCCTTTCCCCTCCACAACCTGGTCCTCCGAGATGGGCAGCAGATCGGAATTTTGGAGTTCCTAGGAGGGGGCAGAGGATGGGAGACTAGCACGCCGGAGTCTCACATCTGGAAAGGGAGGGGTGTGCGGGAGGAAGGCAAAGGGACAGCGAGGGAAACTGGTCTGGGGCCAGGGAGCTCAGGAGAGTTCCAGAGCTGCAGAGGATGGGCTGGGAGCAGCTGTGAGGAGGGAGGCTCGGGGCCTGGGAGCTGGGTGCCAGGCAACTCACAATGAAGGTGCAGGCGGGGCTGAAGGCGAAGGTGCCGCAGGCGTAGAGGTGGGTGGCGTTGAAGGAGACCAGGACGCGGATAAAGTTGAAACACTGTGTCTGGAGGAGAGAGAGAATTCAGGCCTCAAAGGACATTTGCCCCAAACGCCTGGGCCCCCAAACGCCAATGCTCCCTCGCTTCCTGGTGGGAAGAAGGGCTGGGCAGTGTGGAGGCAGTCCATGTGTGTCTTCACAGAACATGATGCGGGCCATAACCATGGGAACAAGTCGCCTCTGCTGCCTGCCCCCCCTGAGATGATGGCCTGGGGACACCAGGGTTCTTACTCGGAGCCCCTAGCCCCCCACCTCTGTTTACCTCATTGCTCTTCTTCTTAAAGGCACAATCACTCTTTTTTTTGTCACTGGCTGGCCAGGATATCTGAAATGGGAAATTGGGGGGGACAGGGAAATGAAGGGATATGAGGTGTTCAACTCTAACTTTGACTTGCCATCCCCTCCTGGGCTCTGGTGTGAAATCACCAGCAGCGATCAGTGACCTGCCCATGGGCTATGGTAACATCAGTTGGTGACCAGAGCTATTACCCTGATAGCGCTCCAGGCTAGAGGATGGCCTGTGGGACCAGACCTGAGTTGAAGCTAGGCTCCACCATTCTCTGGCTGAGGGACCCTGGTCAATTCCACAGGCTGCTGGAGGGCAAAGTAGGCAGTAGATGCCAAGCGCCTAAGCCTTTGGGAGGGGCCCTAAGGAATCCAGAGAAGCTGCTGTCCAACCACACATTTCCCAGGGAAATAGTTTGCATGTCAGTCTCTAAGTCACACCTCAGAAAATCTGCTTTTTTCACTGTAACCCACGTGTGTCGGTAGCCTGCAGACCACACTGAGAAACACAAACGGTGGCGATGCTCCCTCATTGCTCGCTCCCTCCCTCCCCTTCTCCCTTCCTTCTCCTTTCTCCCTCACACTATTGCCCTCAGCAGGGGGACTAAAATGTAACGGAGGCACACTCTCCCTCCCCGTGGGAGCCACCCACTCCTTTCTTCCCTCTCAGCCTGCATCTCCTGAACTCTAAGGCCCCCAGAAGACTTGCAGCCAGGGGGGTCAGGGGCGGCAGCAGCGGGTCCCGAACTAACCCCCTGAACCTGTCTCCAAGGCCCCTTTTCTCTGAGTGTCCAACAAGCCAAAGCAGCCCCACCTAGGCTCTCCTCCCCGGTTGCTTTTTCTATCCTACGCCTCTTTCCTTTCCCTATCCACGGCTTCAATAAACATACTCTAAAAACAACAACAACGATGAGCACAGAAGGGTCAGTGATTTCTACCCGTGGGTGGATATCACATTATTGACACCATTTGAGCCAATGTTTCTCTCCTGTGTCGATTTCCATCTCAGCCGTTGAAGCAATTAATATTATTCATTAATCATAATACCAAGGAAGAGTGAGGCCACTATAGTATTTCTTGCCCGTTTACCAACCAGATGCACATAACAAGAGCTGCTGATGATTACGGAATCCAGCTGGCCCTTGAACAACACGAGGTTGTTGGGAACAAAAACCCTTGCATATAGTGAAAAGCCCTCGTATAAATTTTGAGTCCCCAAAACTTAACTCCACAGCCTCTCAGTACCCATGGGGGACTGGTTCCAGGACCCCCGTATAACAGTCCCTCATATAAAATGGGGTAGAACCTGCATGGGTTCCCAGCCGCAGATTGAAAACGCTGGTTGGATTCTCGGATGGGAAATCTGAGGGTACAGAGGGGCCAACTGGATTATTGGGGGGAAGGAATCTACATATAAGGGGACTCGCATAGTTCAAATCCATCTTGTTCAAAGGTCAACTGTATCGATGACAGGAACTGGGCGATGATTCACCCGTAGGCAGCCCGGGCACAGGGCATCTGCCGGCCCCCTCCTCGCTCCCAGCCCACACCCTTTGCCCTGGCCTCCTCACCGTGTTCTTCAGCCTGGGCACGCCCGGGTCCTGGATATCCAAGGCCAGAATGGCCTCGCGGGCCCCCACATAGAGCGTGGCCCCGTCAGCACCCAAGAGCAGAGTGTCAAAGTCCTGGAGGTTCTTCTGGTGGAAGAGGCTCAGCACCCTGCGTCCGTCCCCTGTGAGGAAGCGGGGAGAAAGGTGGCGAGTGAGGAGCAGCTGGTGGGCAAGCAGCTGATCACTGAGAGGCAGGGGTGGGGAGGGGCAGGGCTGGCAGAGTGTGCTCCTCAGGCCTTGGCAGATGGACTCATTCTTTTTCTTTTTTTACTGATTTTTCACAGAGAAGAAGGGAGAGGGATAGAGTCAGAAACATCGACGAGAGAGAAACATCAGTCAAGCTGCCTCCTGCACATCCCCTACTGGGGAGGTGCCCACAACCAAGACACATGCCCTTGACTGGAATCGAACCTGGGACCCCTGAGTCCGCAGGCCGATGCTCCGTCCACTGAGCTAAACTGGTTAGGGTATGGACACATTCTTCATCAGCAGCTCCCCCTTCACCCACCCCAGCGGCAGCCATAGGAACTTGGTGTGTGGAGCCCACAGTAGAGACAGACCAGGGAACAGGAGGTAAAGGGAGGCATGACGGATGCTCCCCCAGGCCTGGGGGCTGCAGTGGGGGGAGGCCGCGTTGGTCCTCACTGGCAGGGGCAACAGAGGCGGAGAAACAGACGAGAGGTGTTAACAACCACAAACAGGAAAGCTACCCAAAGGCCTCTGTCAGAATGGCTGTGGGTTGTAGGGTCCCACTCACCAAGCCCACTTCCTTACCCTCCTCTTGCAAGAAATTTCCACAAGAATGACCACCTTAGGCTGCACAGAAAGAAAGCATCTTTCTTCAGAGGCCCATGGGCATGCCTGGCTGTCACCCGGACAGGGGAGGGGAGCCTAGGACCTCTCTCTCGCCTTGTGTAGATGGGGTCTGTGTGTTCCTGTCCCTCTGGCCATCAGCACGGGGAATTTGAGGATTTAAGCTCCTCAAATCCTCTCTCATGGGAACATTGACACTTGTGCGTCAGTTAGAGGGCTGACGAGCTAAGTGTTACCTTTGAGGGCTCAGAGTGAGAAAAGACCAATGGGAGGAGTTAGGGGAGGAGTGTGTGCCAGGGGCCGGCCTCCATCAGACCTGCATCAATCCCTCGTTACAGACTGGTCCCCTGCAGCATGACTGTTTGCTTCCTCTCAGGACTGTGAGCACCTTGAGTCTTGTTTCCGCTGCACCCAACACAGAGGAGGCCTCTCCATCCATGGGCAACAGGCATTTCCTTTAGACACGGCCCCAGAAGGATGCTAAGTGCCCAGGACCTCCTGCCCCCTCAACTCCTACAGGCCCAGGTCCTTTCCTGAATCTTCTCTCTAGGGGCGCGAGTACCAGCAGCCTCAGTAAGAAAGCTGTGCCTCCAGGTCCTGCACCCCAGCTGGGCCATCCTCACTTCTCGTATCTCTGAGGTCCATGGTACGAGGCTTGCCATGGTCCAGCCTGATCTGTGTGGTGAGCCTTGGCCTGGAGTAGCCTGAGCTGCCAGGTCCACAGAGGACCTACGTGGGCCCTGGCTTTGGGGGAAGCTGAGGGCAGTAAGCAGTTTCGGTTTGAAGGGCCGCTTGAGGACGGCGACAGTGGAGGAGGGAAAGGAAAACCACCAGCTTTAAAGAACCTGACGGAGGGATGCCCCGGCTACCTGGCCCCTCGTCTCTCTCTCCTAGATCTGCAACCCAGGTGGTTTCATCGCTCACTTCTGACTCGGTCGAAACTTCTATTTCTGGCCCTCCTGTCTGTCTCGCTGAGGCCGTCTCTCCCTGGACATCTCTCTGCTTCTCCATGTTTCTTCCCCTCCCTCCACTCATCTCGCCTTCCTGACGCCCCTCCAGTCCCTCCAGCTCGCAGTGGCCATGCCCACACTTCCATGCCCACATTTCCTGGACATCGAACACTCACCTGCGTAGTATCGGACCCTGGGGATGGGCTCCTGCCCTCCGCCCCCGGTGGCCGCTGTTGGCAGCAGCAGCAGGAGCAGCTGGAAGAGGAAGAGGCCGAGGAGGCTCCATGGGTCCAGGCCCAGGGCGGGAAGGGCCATGCTCAGCCAGAGGCCGTCACCGGATGGCTCTGGGGAAACAGACCCAGGGGCGCCCTCTGGGTAAGCAGTCCTCACCACATCCCCCCCCCTCCGAGCCCCCCCCCCCTCCCCGCCAATCAGAGCGCCCCAGGCAGCAGAAGTGTGTAAGACAGAGGGATGACAGGGAGGGGCAGTTTCCTCTCTCTAGGGCCACGCAGGAGTCTCACTTCCATCACCCTCTCAGGCCTCAGCCTGCAGCTCTGCCCCTCGGGGCAGGAGGGAATGGCTCCCCATCCTGCCCTTCTGAGCTCCTCTTGCCCACAGCCCCGCTCTGCCTCTCCTCAGCTTACTCTCAGAGAGGTCCCTGTCAGCTCCTCTTTGCCCGCCTCTCTGCCGTAGCCCAGGGCCCACACCTTTGCCTTGCCCCAGGCAGGAAACTTTCTGGGGAACCGATTCCTACGCTCAAACAGGAATCCCTCAGACCCGCCTCTCCTGGCTCTGTCAGATCTGCAAGCAACCCCGTCTCTCCCACGTACCCCTGCCCTCTGACGACCCAAGCAGGGGACTGCGTCTCCATCAGCTGCTCTGAGCTTTGATGGGTGGCAATGAGAGTACGTACAGCCCCCAGGCTGGCTAACAGCACTGCCAGGGAACCGGCCAGGGCAGGAAGTGGCTCTGTCTCCCGCCTCTGCAGCTGCCCACCAGCCCTGGACGCTGTGCTGCTGCTGTCTGTGTCCCCGGGTCTCTGCCTGAACCTCTCCTCAGGTCCACCAACCCCAGCCTCCCCCCGCCCCGTCTCCTCTCACGTACTCTTGAGCCAGCCACGGTGTAGAACCCAGGTGTCTGGACTCTTGGGTGGAGGTGCCATCCAGAAGAAAGAAGGTGAGTGGGGGGTCTGGGCCCCAGCGGTAGGGGGCAGAGGCTCAGCCCGGCTGAGCCAGGAGTGAGACCCTCCAGGTACCCATCGTGCCAGCACTGGGAGTTCTGCGCAAGGGAAACCAGAATTTCTACCTCTCGAGTTGTGACAGATCCCGGGCTTGGCGGAAGCTGGGAGTGGACACACCTCTCTCTTTCCCCCTCCTCTCGCCTCTGTCTATCCAGAAAGTTTACTAGGAAAAGGCCAGGACGCCCTGCCAGCGCGGCTCCGTGGTTGAGCACCAACCTACGAACCAGGAGGTCACGGTTTGAGTCCCAGTCGGGCACAGACCCAGGTTGCAGGCTCGAACCCCAGTGTGGGGCATGCGGGAGGCAGCCAATCAGTGATTTTCTCTCATCATTGATATTTCTATCTCTCTCCCTCTCCCTTTCTCTCTGAAATCAATTATTATACATAAAAAAAAATTTTTTTTAAAGGCCAGTCTTCCTTTCCCCTAAAAAAAGGCCAGCCCTTGCCAGTTTGGCTCCATGAAGGGTCCTGGGTTCGATTCAGCTCAAAGGCATGTACTTCGGTTGCAGGCTCAATCACCAGCCCTAGTTGGGGCGCATGTTGAAGGCAACCAATCGATGTGTCTCTCTCACATCGATGTTTCTCTCTGTGTGTCTCTCCCCCTCTCTTATAGAAATTAATGGAAAAATACCCTGTGGGAGAATTTTTTTTTTTTTAAAGGCCAGAAAGTTTTTAGATTATTTCTTGTTCCTCTATCACATCACATCTAATCAGCCTCGCAGTGGTTTCTCCTCTTGCTAAAGATTTCCCCAGACAAGAGTCGTGACTCGGTCTTCCATATTCCTTTTTCACCCACCCACAGGCGGGTCTTTCCACTCCCACCTCCTGGGAAGTCCCCGCAGTGGTCTGCGCCAGTGGTAGCCAGCCTTTCACACCTCACCCTTTATTGGCGACCGCTGGTCTGAACTTCAAACCTCCCACTTCCAGCAGAGCCCCAAACTTTTTAAAATAAGACAACCGTGCTCGGCCTTATTCCTGGCCTTGCGAGGGAATCCCTCCTGTCGCCTAATCTCCATCACCCTTAGGGCGGCATCAGGCCAGTGGGAAGCCCAGAAATTTCCCATCTGAGCTCATAGGTCTCAAAGTCTCAAACACCGTGCTCGGCCCCCACCCCCACAGCAGCTGCTCGCTTCCCCCGATGGCCCCCGGGGAACCTCGTAACGCAGGACTAATGAGGCATCCAGCACCCACAGCTCCGTGACCTTCAAAGGGGGTAGCTTCCTGCCCACTCAGCCCACGACAGCTGACTGCTGGGTACAGGAGCACAGCCATGCCAGGGCCAATGGACTCCCATAAACACCCGTCTCCTTCTTAAGTGCACATTCCTTGCTGCCTGGGTCGGAACCTCCGTCCCTCTCCCCTCAGCACCAGCCTGCAGGGCGATGGGCCAGCCCGGTACCATCCGTAGAAGAATTCCCGGTCAAAGGCTGCTCAGCCTTCTTTCCTTCTCCTCGGCTCCCGTTTCCTTTCTCTTTTGAATTGGTCTTAGGCAGGCCCCCACCCCCCACAACTGTTTCTGTCAAGACCTGCCTAGGACTCCCTCGGGCTCTCCTGAGGCTGGTGGCCAGGTCCTTGGGAGAAGCCGCAGACCAAGCCACCCAGAGAAAGTTTTCCTGATTTTCAGAACCAAGGGACACTCCCACCCAGACCCAGCCTTCTGGGTCTCCTCAACCCCAGCTCAGATTTGGGAACCTACCCTGCCCCTGGGCCTCCCTGCTTGCACAGATTGGTGTATCTGGGTCACTGGGAGGAGTTCTATTGGGGGTGAGGGGGGTGCCCTGCTCTGGCCTCTCGGGAAGTGTTAGCTTAATACCCTGGAATTATTCTTCTTCTCCAGTCCCTGGCCTTCTCCTCCTAGCCCCAGGCCTTTCCCCAGTCCCTCCAGCCAACACGAAGCAGACTGTGGTCTACCCACCAATGTTAGCAGATAGGTACCCCGGGACCCCGGCTTACAGATGAGGGAGTGATTCAGGGAGGTCCCACAGCGAAAAGTCAACTTAAACTCAGATCGGCCTCATTCAAAGTTAATCCCTTAGCTCTACTGTCTCTATAGAGTCCCATTCCAGCCCCAGCCCAGGAAACTCAGCCTCTTGGACGGAGAAGGCAAGCAGGTAAGGGTGGCAAGCTCTGGCTCCTCTGAGCAGAGAAACAGTATCTCTGGGGAGATTCCTGAAACCTCTGCGAAGACAGGCCATCAGGTACCACCTCCTACCTCCACAGGGCCTGCTGGTCCAGCTCCATGGAAGAGCATGATGGAGAGGCAGGGCCACCTGCCCTTACCCACTGACCCTCTTTATATATATGTCAGAGTGGAAGGGAGAAGGAGGAGGAGAGGAAAAAGGAGAGGAGAGGGAGAGGGAGAGAAAGAGAAACACCAATGATGAGAGAGAATTATCAATCGGCCATCTCTACACCCCCTACTGGGGATGGAGCCTGCAACCCAGGCATGTGCCCCTGACTGGAATCGAACCCGTGACCCTTCAGTCTGCAGGCAGACGCTTTATCCACTCTGCCAAACCGGCCAGGGCCAACCCACTGACCCTCTTGCACCAGAACCCCTGGAGTCAGATTCGGGTGCACACAGCCATCGCTCCTGCTGCAGCTGCCAGAGCCCACAGACAGGGCCCCCCACTCAGAAGGGCCCACGTTTCATCTGACGCTGTCTTGAAAGTCTTGGTCATTTCTGAACAAGGGGCCCCACATTTTCAGTTGGCACCGGGTCCCACAAAAGGTGAGGCAGTTCCTGCCTCCGGCATCAGGGAAGCTCTGAGTGACCCCTCAGTGCAGAAATGAGGCAGGCGAGGCCAGGAAGAGGAAGTGTCTTCGCTGGAGTCAGGCAGCGGTTGGCGTGGGGCAGTGGTGTAAGGACTCAAATGTTCAGGGAACACACCGAAGGCGCCAGGCCATTGCATAACCCTAATGTGGGGCTTCCCCAGCTCCTTTCTCCCCTGGCCCTGGATCCCAGCATGGGGACCCTCTAGACCACAATGCTGAGTCCAACCCCATCGCCCTACCCCAGAGTCCAGCTCTTCCCGGGGCCCCTTCCTGCCAGGCCTTCTGGCCCAGGTAGAGATCCAGATGTGGGGGTGGTAGCGGGAGGGGAAATGGCGATGTCACTCCTCACCCCTACCCCGTGCTCACCCCAGGGCTCTGTCTCGTCTGCTCCCTTGGAACATGGATACCTCGCAGAGGGGCGGCTCCTGGTGTCAGGAGAGAAGGCACTTGGGGATTCCCCCAGCAGGTCCAGTGCCCCCTACCCCCTCTCCCTTCCGGCCTCGGGGGCAGACCCGGAGAACATGCCCCTGGAGAAGAGCAGAGGGCTGGCTCCGCTTCCTTAGCCCCCCTGCTCCGGCCCCGCGTTGCCCTCCCTCTGCGATCGCCAGCGAGTCAAAACAACTTATATTGGTTACGCGCCTACTGGGTGAAGCGCCCAGGGATGGCCCCGAGCCTCTGCTCTCCCAGCTCCCCACCCCTGCTGTCTCTCTCAGCTGAACCCATGCCAGGTTCAGGGTCAGCTGGGGCCAATTCTCCTCCCACTCCCTCCGGGTTTCCCGCTTCCCGCTGTGTACACGCAGGGCGGTCACACCGGGGTGCCAGCCAGCCTGACCTCACGCAGATGGAGGGTGCCCTAAGGAGGCACATGAAGACGTAAACATCCACACAAATACGCCCCGACTGGGTCTCTTCTCTGTCAGGAAACCCGAGGAGCTCTGGCCTCCGGGGTGGGAGCACCGTCCCATAGCCCCAAAAGGCTGCAATTTCGACTCCCAGTCAGGGCACATACGTATGTTGTGGGTCCCACCTGCCCAGCCAATCCCGCCAACCCCTCACCCAGCGCCTCCTGGTTTCCCCCTCCAGCCTGCCCGGAGCTGGGAGGCTGAGCTGAGCATCGCAGACAATGGCCGGACCCCCTCTGTCTGCCCCTTCTCGGGGGCAGAGCCGGCGCCAGACAATGGCCCGTGCTCCCCTCTCAGCACTGCCAGCTCTCCCGCCTCCTTACCTGGCGCTCGCTCGCTCGGGGATGCTGCCGCGTTTCCCTCCCCCTGGAACGCCAGGCTCTCTCGTCTCCCAGAGC